AATTTAACTAGATCAAAGAGAAGGAGACTCTGCACCAAAGTTGACCTCTGTGCGGGGTGGGGGAGTGTGCTGTGTGCTGTGTGCTGTGTGCTGTGTTCGCATGTAACCTAAGTTATTGCCTTTTAGCGAGTGGCCTGTCGTGGTTATGATGTCTGTTTAGTGGCCCGGGCTGTTGTTTCACACGACTTTCATGTTAGCAAGTCGTTCTTCTAACAGTAAAAATCAATAAGTACCCAGCCGCTTATTATGTGAGGCTGAAACTGCGACTCCCCGATCTTGGCTCCTGGGAGAATAGAAGAGCAAAACACTGAACTAAATAACTTGGCGCACCGAACATGCAGTAATCATCGTTTTAGCTTGTCTAGGTCTCAGTCTCTTCTGGCTGTTTGCCTCTCTAACAAGCCATTAGGCATTAATTTTAGCCATATGCACTGGACCATGCCATACCATGCCATACACCAGGGACTGCCGCAAATATGTCGCACTCGAAGAGAGAGAGAGAGAGAGAGAGAGAGAGACAGAGACACAAGACTGCCAGGCACGACAAAATGGCAAAAAATAAATTAATGACATAACTTGGACGTAACACACGACTTGGATGAGAATCAAGTTTATGACTGCTGCTTGTGGGAGTGCAACAGCAACAAGTGGAAGCCATGAGGGAGGGGTGGGGTATGGCACTAATTTAGCAATGTAATTGGAATAACATTGCTCGTGCTCTCTCATATTTGCTTGACCCATGCCCCACCACCTTTCACCAAACATCAGCAAGAAGCAGCCGCAATGGGTTCAGGATCAGGAGCAGCTCCAGATGAAATATTAAACAATTTACGAGCAGCTCGTATTGGGCTTATGTAAGCAAGAAGGACAGGGACAGGGCCAGGGGCAGGGCCAGGGGCAGGGACAGGGGCAACCTCCTTTTCGGCTCGGGGTTAAATGCCCATTACAAACAATTTTGTAATCCCCAGTTAGGCAACAGAACAGAAATTTGTTTTCAAATTATTTAACTCGAGCAGCAGCGAATGGCCAATGGATGAGATGTGCCGAACCGATCCGAATCGATCTGTTCCTGCAGTGGATATGGGGAATGGCTTGAGCTGAGTTGAGGCACAAGGCAAGTGCAATTTACGTAAATTAAAGCAACATAATGCAAGACGTGTGGGTGGTACGAGGTCAATCCAAGCTCTGTCTCTCTTCCCTGGGCAGCTGAACTGATTCTGAAAATTGCTCAGATTGAGCGACAGTCCGTGGCAGAGGCATGACAACCTCAAGTGCCACAAACACCTGGAAAAGCTGGGAAACTATTTCCAACGCGTGTGCACGTGGGCGGCTCCCATCTGTATGGGAAAGATCCACCTGTAAAAGTGCATAATTATTTGAATGTTTTGCTTTTGTCACACAAATCAAACGGGTCTCCAAAAGAATTTGACAACCTGTTGTCATCGAATGATGGGCAGAGAAAACGGGGCCCGGCTACTGGTCACAAAAAAAAAGAGTGAACAAAGTAAAAGTGAGAGGGAATTGCTGATAAGCCCGGGACACAAAGAAACAAGAAAGTCCGACAGGCAGACAGCAGAAGATTGCACTTGAAAGAAAGCCCATGAATGGCCCCAGATGACACCATCGAGATCTGGTGAGTGGTTCGAGTTAGTCGGAAGAATGAACCATACATGGCTGAAGTATTTCCCTTCTCAATTTTGAGCTGAAAGTTTGTGGCTTAAGCGGAAGATGGCCCTTTGCGTGGAATGATGGATTTCTCTTCCCTTCAGCTTGAGTTTATGAATGAAAATATAGAATATCTTCCAGTGATTCCACATCCAAAGAGTGGCAGATCTTTTCTTGCGGGACTCACGTGTCGCTGCTGTCCTCGTTTGTCAGCCACTTGTCACTTTTGGGCCGTTTGCCATGTCCATCGAAACATGGCACATGGACACATGGACACATGGACACGTGAATACACAAATGGACGTTCACTTCTGGCCCACAGTCCCTGGCAGTCGGAGTCGGTCCGCAGTGGCGGACCCAGCGAAATAAGCTCTTAATTAAGCATCCGTGTCAGTTGGTTTTTGGTGTTGTTTTTCATTGTGCCATCCTTGAGCCGGAGAAGCTGGTCAAACAAAAAAGAAAATACCAAAGCGACATGCAAGTTTTGTGGCCAAAGTCTTTCGTTTTTGGCCATGTCCATGGCCCAAGTGCAAGTGCAAGTGGGTCACAGCAGCCCTCTCCCTCTCCCTCTCTCCACTCTCCACCGACTGTTCGATTTTCCTGCACAACTGGCGCCTGACCAGAGTTGGCAATGGCCATGCATAAATAAATATCATACATACTCGGTACATCGGACATTTGGAATCAGACATCAGACTTTGGCATGGCCATGCCGGCATCTGGTTATGAAGTAAGGAAAACGCAAATAGAAATGCGAAGGGGGAAATAAATAAAATAAATTTGCTGCTCTTGCTCTTGCTCTTGCTGTTGCTCCTGCTGCTGTGAGTTTGTTTGCCTTGGTCTGGCAGTCGAGTAATTTACAATTCGCACACATGCTGTGCACTCTCCCGGTGCAGACTCTTCCACTCTTTTGCCTTCCCGCTTCCCGCTTCCCGCTTCCCGCTGTTGTTGTGGCTCTTTGGAAACGAAAATGAAAATAAATGCACGTTAAGAGGAGAAGTCCTGTCATCGGTCAACGGGCCGCAGTTGTTTGATATGCCAGCCAGCAGCAATAGAAAAAGCAACAGTTGCCTTTTGTACACGAATTTGAATTGTTTCGCAAATACATTTTCCAAGGTAAGATGCCGTGAATATGAGGTGCAGTTTGGCCTTCATAATTGCTACTCTAGAAGCAATGTTTCAACTGAGAAACCAAGAGGAAAGATACAAAAGAAACCTGCCAAGAGTCCCTGTTTACATGTAAATCTGCCATTGATCATTCATAAATTTCTCACTCGTTACAGCTTCATGGAAAACTGCCCGGAAAGAGCATCTTCTCTTCGTTCAACTGCTACTACTGCTAATTTCTCGGTTTTACTTTCAAAGCACTCTGTGAGATCTGTGAGGCTGAACATTTGCCATTTTATGGCTGCAATTTCATGGGCAAGCCGAAAAGCATTGGCCATCATTAAGGTCAGTTCGTGTTGGAGATTTGCGTAAGCGTAAGGTTTCCTCGCAAGTGAAATGATGCGAAGCGTCGCCACGCTCCGATGTGTGACAATTTTTGGCAATGTTTTGCCGCTGACCCCGAAGATTTCGCTAATTCGAAAACGAAAGTCAGTCTGAAACAAGAGAGTTTCAGAGGAGCGATGGAAGATCACCTTTTTGTTGCCGGAACTACTTTTCAGTTGCTCATGCAAATTTGAATCAAGCAGCAGTGGAGAAAAGTGCATTGAACTCTTCCTAATTCTTGAGAATTTCTCTTTTTATGCGTGCAGAACTGTTCTGCCGTGCGGCATTTCTCTTTATGTGCGTGTTAAAATGTTATTAAAATAAAACTTGATCACCAAGAACCTGTTTCAAGGTTGCTTGTGCCTCACACTGGTGTGTGACACTTTCCATTTTTGTTTATTTTTATTTGGGTGTTAATGGGGAAAGCTCTGCAGCAGTCTCCCCAATCTTAGCCCCGACTGTGGCTTGTCTTTTGTTGGTGGAACACCCACAAACGCAATCAAGCGTTTGGCTACTGGATGATCCTTTCCCTTTTCATCGCCTAACTGTTAAAATCGGAATATCTTTGTGGACGCTAAACATAAACATTAATCAAGAAGCAATAAAACGGTAGAGAAGAAACAAAAGGTATTCTGTGGGCCTTTGTGTGTTCGATTTCGTTTATCATGGTAATTTTAGCCCCAAGAATGATTTAGCTGATCCGCCTCTTAACCAGCCCTGAGACCTGAGAGCTGGGAGCTGGGAGCTCCCTGAACGCTGAGTGGAATGGCGTGGCGCGGCGCGGCATAGAAAATCAGTGGACTGGAGGAGGTCCAAAGTGGGCGTGGAATTCGGCTCTCAACGTCCTACAAATTAATCAACACGTAAACGAGACGCTTTGGGGGCAGATCAAAGAGAAGAGACCTTTTGTCCCAGTTGCAAGTGCACGCCCGCCCGCTCACATATGGGCTGTGGCTTTCGGATGCGACTGGGACTCAGACAGGCACTGGGGCTCGGATGGCATGGCCTCCTAATGGGCTTTTTATTGGGTCACAAAGCGACGCAATTCACACAAAGGGGCAAACGGGCAGACACCTGCCATGGACCAAAATTGCATTAATTGCCTTTTAGCCTAGGAATCGTGAGTTGGCCAAAATCGATGCGAGTGGAAGAGCAGGACTCACTGGGGGGCATAGAGAGGGAAAGTTGCCCCCTCGGAGGGATCATGACAGATCAAAGCGGCCACGGCCACCAAAGGGGAAATTCTGTGTGAAGAGAGGCAGCAACAAATCAGATGATGATGCCGCTGATTATGAGGGGGAAAACCACATGTGACTTATGGTCAAAGACACGACTGCAAATGGTTTTAGTTCTTAATGGAGCTATGTCCGAATTCCCTAAGATGTTAAGACTACAAAACGGCAACTTCTCTCACAAACATCAACAGAATGCAGCCAGTGGATTCTGGAGCAAACTCGGGCCTGGAGTTTCCCAGAACTCCCCGCATTGGTGATGAGACGCGTTCCCCGTTTGTGGTTCAATAATGCGACAGAAATGGTCTAATGAGTAAATTAATTGACGTCCATGATCTGCTCGGACATTCTCCACTTGGTCCACACTAATTCGCAATAAAGTCTCAATTAACCAGCAAAGAGAAACGCCCACCAAGATGACCAGAGCATTGCTCTGGTAGAGGTTTGCCTTTGAATCTACATGGGGAACATAGTTCCGATTATTCATAATTTTTGGGTTATCGTTTTTATCACAAAAGTAGGCGATGGATTTACCTTAAAGTACATTTAAATTGAAGTTTGCTGTACATTTGGTTTGTCATTGTCTAGCAGCTGTCCAGTTGTATAATTTTCGGCTGAATTTCGAAGCGTATTAGGGAAATAAAAGTAATTAATTTATTAGCAATTGTAAGCAAACGGAAGGCGTACCTAAATATGGTAAGTCGAATGGAAGACCTCATGTGCACAACTCCACTCCACTGTACACTCCTTAGCCGCAGAACTGTTTGGAGTCCATAAAGCGGCGCCAACGCATTCTGGGCCGCGTGGAGCCGGAGGTGATGCCGAAGGTGGGGAGCGAGGGGCTGTACACCAATTTACTTCATTGGTTCAAAGTGAATGTGCTTGAGAAGCTGGCGAGGAAAAAATACGCAGCTGACTTTTTGAAGCCCTTAGACAATCCGAATTTCTACAAGATTACCAAAAATCCACTGGACATCGGCATTATTAGGAGGAGAATCGACAATCGGTACTACTCGACTCTGGCAGAGGCTCTCCGAGACTTTCGAATTATGCTCGATAATTACTGCGAATATTTTGCACCGCATGACGAGAGCGGAACACGTATGGGTAGAAGTCTCTTGAAACTGATGATACATCGACAGCTGGGACCGGAGGTACCCTTGACCAGGCATCCCCGTCGCGCCAGCCCGAAAGCGGTGCACGGCAGGACCCTCAAGAGCCAGTGCGAGGCGAAGTTGAGAAAGTTTCGGCTGCTCGCCAAAAATCTGCAACATTCCTTTGCTCGCACTCTTCTCGGGAAGTGTGATTATATGAAGAAGAAGCTGTCCGAGTGCAACTTTCGGACCCGTGAGCAGTTCATGGAGGAATTTCGAAGCATCCTGCACGATTTTCGCACCTCTGCCGTACAATATTTACACAGCAAAGGCTATCCGAATATTCCCAAGAAGCCGAGCCTTGAAGAGCCAATGGATGGCTCAGGGTCAGACTCTGACTCGGCAATTTCCTGCGACTGCGAGTCCTGCAGCGACTCTAGCTGTGACTGCAGCTGCAGCTGCAGCTGCCAAGACTCCAGCCTCAGCTCTGACTCTGACAATGAGACTCCAGCCAAGAAAATTAAGTTCTAGCTCTTACTTTGACTGTCCAAAACAGAGAAAATGTTTATTGCGGGGATGCACCATCTCTATGCTCCACGCACTTGCACTTGTTTTTCTCCTCTGTGCCATAATAAACGCTAATTAGAGATCCATTTAAGGGAACCTGAGGGTGCCCAAGTGTTGTTCATCTCGTAGATGTACACATGTAAATGCAAAGAAAGTGCATCGATGGGTGCACACTTAACGCTACTTTTCACTTTCATTGTAGGCGCTTAAACGTTAACAAACTGAGTGTGGGACAGGCCTAATGATGGCTCATGCAGGCTGCTCTGGGGTTTGGCCATCGATTAAACTCATTCACTCGCAGACTCCCATCAAAACAAACAAAAGCAAATAGAAATGCAGCTCGAGAGATGGGATATTTGAGATATATGCTGGTCGAAACTCTCACTTTCCTTCACTAATGGGAACCAGCTCGAATACCCTACAGAGGCACACACAGAGGCCCACAGAGGAAGGGTATCCCAAGAGCTGTCCGCAGAATGTAGCTGTCAGTGGGAGGAGCAGAGTACTGGGAACTGCCACTAAATTAAGACATTTACGACCCACTCAGATCCGAATCAATAATGAAATGGCCATGCAAAATTCTAGGCACAACAACCGCTTAAGAGCCGCCTCGGGGAATGGGGAATGGGGAATGGGCAACGGTAAATGGTAAATGTATCTCTGGAGGAGACTTCATGACTGCAGATACTCGACTCGAGATTAGAATGAATCATTTCCAGCATCCTAATTGAGTTGCAGCCGACCGGCCAGCCAGCCAGCCAGCCAGAATATTAGCAGACGCCTTGTCGAACTCCATGTCCATGTCTGAGCCGCTGTCTGTGTCGAGGTGTGAGACTATTTAACCGACTAACTAAGGCCAAACAGCAACGATTAGTCCCAGACTACGACGAGGAAGTGGCTGGACCTAGACCTGGAGGATGGCGAAGGGCCATTTATCACAGCGAGAGAACTGCTCGTGTCTCGTCTCTTTGGGCAAATTAACCGTTCCCCAACTGACTGACTGACTGACTGACTGACTGACTGCCCGACTGGGTAACTGAGTTAGAGACTAACGGGAGACAGAGTGGCTGGGATCCCACTCCTGGTCTTCTCCTGCCCGTTCGATGCCCTTCCACCAGACTGAAAGTCTGAGCTCTGCCTTAAATGTAGTTCTCTGGGTCAATGCGAGCACCTGAACTAATCAGAGCCCCAGCGAGTGGGGCATGCGCGGCACTTCTCTGCCAGTTGTCAGCTTTCACAAAATAATTCACGAATATTTCACGCACTGGCAGTGCGATTCTGTTGGAAGAATCTCCAGCCATCGAACTGCGCCAAATGAATTCGATGTGAGAGTGACAGGAGAGTGAACCTTGGCTCGACGGGCCCAGTTGGCACAGTGCACACCCATGGATGGGGGTTTTGTGTGTCTGTGAGAATTTGTACTCGAGCTGAACCTCACGTTCGATGTGGAAAAGGGTTCCATAAAACACAATGGAGCATCGCCAGTCCAAGTTCTATTGTTCTTGCAGCTTTGCACAAATTTTCGGCTGCTTTAATGTTTATTCATGAATTCCAACATGAAACTGCAATGCAACGAGGAAGAGACAAGTTCTTCGGCCTGCACATAAATCAAATTGCCCGAAATCCTCTCCAGCAGCAGCAGCAGCAGGCACATCCATGGCCACATCCATATCCATATATCCATGGCCATATCCACAGCCACATGCATGGGGCAGTAGTCATGGCCAACTGATTGAGCTGTCGCGTATTTGGGTGAGGTGAGATCGCCCAGTGTCTAAATGTCCATAGATTCTAAAAGATCGAGGTTGAGGCTGGGATTGGGATTGGGATTGGGGATTTCCTTTTTCTGGCTTGGGCATCTGCATTTGAATTTCATGTCTTGGCTGCTTAGGGAAATCTGCTGCTGCTGCTGCTGCTGCTGTGGAGAAAACGAAAATTTCCATATTACTTGTGTTGCCATTTCTTAGCGCTTATATGGCTCCAGATCGCTGCCATTTTCACGGACTTTTGTCATATCAAAGAGGGAGCCCGAGGCCCGCCCACAGATTCCATGTCCAGTCGGAGTCAGCGTCTCTGACCGACCACAACTGGGTCAACAGCATCTGGCCAACGGAAGTCGATTATCATTCGAGCTGAACCTCATATAAATGGACACAGGTGCGTGGCCATAAACCTTGTCGAAGGTGGCTGGAGCGGGGGAACTAGCTTTCCCAGGGGAGAAACTTGCTCTAATCCGATCCGGCTGCTGTGTGCGCCCCTGAATGATCTTCACTTTGGCTTGGCGCTCCAGATAGACAATAGATTAAGCAGGGAGGCAGGCAGGGAGCATCTAGCATCTAGCATCGGTGCACTGTGCCCGCGGGCTGAATCGAAAATCATTTCCATGTAAGGCATCAGAAGGGGAGGCAAATGGCAAATGGCAAATGGAGGAGAGAACTCTCCGAATGCGCTGCACTTATTCTATTACAAATTTTATTACACTTAAGTGCGGTGGAATGAAGCGAAATGTGTGCCATGGTAAGCTCAGTCCTCAGTCGTAGCCATGCTTGAGCCATGTCTAATCCTCCGGCGGTCGCTTTCTTTGATGATTGGGCTGTAGTTGGGCGGGACGGGACGGGACGGGACGGACCGCTTCCCCAAATTGCGCCCGCTGATGTAATGTTTGCTCGATCTGGTCACGTTGCACGTAACCGCAGCGCGGCTTTTATTTAACGTGCGGTAATTGCATTAATAAAGACCCCAAATCCCAAATTATATTGTACAAATTGAGCTGCGTACAATGAAAGCGAAATTGTTTGATTTCTGCCCGATTGTCGATTGTCGTTCCCCAAAGCCCGAGCTGTGGCTGTGGCTGTGGCTGTGGGCTCCCATCTCAAAGTGCATCTATCCCGACTGGATCGATTGATTCGAATCAATTGCAAGATGAAAGACTCGACTTGTCAAAGACATCTCCTGGGAAGCGAACTGGGAGGCAGACCAACCACTCAGGAAATCATCATAATGATCGTTCCTCGGAGCTGAATTGAATGGAGAGATCCAATTGAAACGCTCAGCTCTGATTTTTATTTCACTTTTGGATGGATCTTTTATTATCTGTTTACAGCTACGCCGTGTTCCCCAATTAACTTCTTGATTATTCATACGATATGTGGGCTTGGAAAGAGTTCTTCACTCACAAATTTTCGTTGGGTTTTGGCAGCGCCTTCTGCATCGTTCCATCTGCGTGTACCATCTCGGGGAACTGACATGATTTACGAGCTTAAGAATCCTCCCACTGATTCATTTGGAATCCATAACCGTTTTCGGCCTACCACAAAATCCGTTCCAGGAGAGAACAACAAACAGAAGAGCCTGGAACGGGTACTCCACGGCAGTGAGGACCCCAACTGGTTGCACCTGTTCCACTTGGCCTCGGGTCGTCTGGCCACAGAACATTTTCATGTTCTGCAGAGCATTTTGTTTTTATGACAACATCGAAGAGTCATGGCTGCAACGCTCCGAACAGGACCGAACAGGATCGCAGCGGATGCTGCTCTCCAGGCTCCGCGATTGGGGGGGGCAAAGCATTAAAGCATTGAGCCATTGGGTCTGGCTGTCATGTGGAACTGCACTCTGTTTCCATAATTAAAGGCCAGCAGCGCTTTTTGGCGGTTGGCAGTTGGCGGTTGGCGGTTGGCGGAGGTGGCCCCGTTGTGCTCTTAATGTTGGCATTTATATGCCATAGAATTGTAAATGCGATTAGCAAAATTAATTGCCTCAGAACAACAACAACGACGACGTAGAGGGAGAGGGAGAGCATGGAGCCTGGATGGATCGTTTGGTTTGCTGATTTGCGTTTTTTGTTTTTTTTTTTTGTTAGAAGTGGCCATGGAGCGGGGTGCACTAAACAGGAGATGGTAACGGTACCACTGGTCATCCATCCAGCCAAAAGCGATGTACATCGATTGCCTTTGACCATTAATAATCCATAGGTTGGCCAGCTTTGCTGAAAGGAATGCTGCGGGTCGATGAGAGCTGTGTGTCCAATCGAATCGACTCGTTCGCAGGTCTTCGCTCGGTTGCTCGGGCTGTGTTGAAAGTGAGAGTCGCCCGGGGGCCGGGCCCAATGAATCGATTCGAATCAATGCATGAAAATAGACAAACAAAAGCCAAGTGATTTATGTGCACTGTGTGCATTGATTCCCAAAGAATCATGTGAAATTTGTTGCCAGTTGCCAGTTGGTAGTTGCCAGTTGCCAAGCTTCCACCAGCGCTTCACTTTCGTGTGAGAAAGTGTTCGATTTGAGCCGCAATCAACTGCTGCATGGCCCTGGCCCTGGCTTTGACTCTGACTCTGACTCTGGCCTGCCGATGATAAATGTCAGCGCGCTGTGCAATTACCGCGGCTCTGCATAAATCTCAGGACCCAACCGCTATGACCCACATTAATCCGCAAAACGTTGTGCCCGCAGCCAGAGCGGAAATTAACAGAGCACTGGGATCTGGGTAAATCTCGAGGAGCCGCACTCCCGCACGCGCCACAAGTTCGCTTCATAACTCAAAGTTGCCTTCGCAATGCGACGGCAACGCGGTGGCGGCATGCCGCTCGGTCGCTCTTTCGGTCCTTCTGACTTTGTTACATATTATTTATTGTGTCGGCCCAGCTCCGACAAAACTCCCTCAACCATGGACCATACAACCATAGACCATAGACTCTGGAGTCTTCAACTACTACTCCTACTCCATACACAGCTTCAGTCTTATCCAACTGCCGACAAATCCCGTGGGCGTTTAACGGCAATTCGTTGCTTGCATATTTGTTGCTGGGCAAAACCAAAATTCGTGTACTCAAGCCTGAATTGCGCCTAATGGGTGTGGGTGTCGGTGTCGGTGCTCCCTGTCTGCGGATTATGGGAACAGACCATATCAGTGGCAATAAAATTATGTAAAAAACATTTCCTTGTCTTTTATTTTGTTGCTGTATTCTCTGTGTGCGCTGTGTGAGCGCGGCAACAAGTGGCAGTCAGCAGACAAGTCCGCGACTCCGCGTGTCGATGCTGATGTGTGGGCGTTGCAGGCAGTCCG